CCCCAAAACCCCAAAACCCCAAAACCCCAAAACCCCTATACTACACCTTAGTATTGGATAACTAAATAGAATAAAAATAGGCAATTATTAGTCTTCAGAACTTATCTGGGGAGCTTGGTACCCATTTAACAAGCTAAGCTTTGCCTCTAAGGATTCGAACATGAGATCATTGAAGCTCTCAAGATTGTCTAGCTTAGGATCTTTTACATTGAATCACATCTCTTTGTACAGAGCTTCATTCTTCAGTATATTGGCTTTCTCCTGAATTCTTTGCTCTCTAGCTTTGTTGTCTAGTTTTGATTGCTTAATATCTGATTTCCAGTCGACTAAGTCTATAAAGATGTTATTTTCATGCCAAGAATGTGCTAAGATTTCGGACCGTTTTCAATGGCTAAATTAATTTCTGAAAATCTTTCATTAATCGACAAAATTTCCTCGGATTTACACCAAGCTTTCAGACTACATAAATACTATAGGTATATACTCTGCAATGTTTAATGTTAAACACGATGCTTGATCGTATCAGACTTACTCTTTGGAATGGTATTTAAGCTATTCTTAACATCTCCTGGCTTATCCTTCCTTAACTCTTGCAAATAGTCAATTCCTTTATCATGTTGAGGGATTTGAGGAGTGAAGTTCTTTTTCCGGGGAAGTGATTTATACACCTTCATTCTTTGCTTATAGATCTTCTTGCGTTCCTCAGTATCAGAGAGCAATGCTTTTGGACGATACCTCTCCTTTGCAGGCATCTCTAAGGACTGTCGTCTGATTTTAATTTCTTCTTGTTTTTTCCTCGATATCTTTGGCCCAAATTTGTTCTTTATAGAATCTGAGTAAGATTTTATTTTGGAGTGATAAGCTCTCCTATTTTCTTCTTTTTCAACCTCAGCTTCTTCTCTTTCCATTTCTTCCTCTAGTACTCTCTCATAAGCTCGATTAGTGTATCTTCCTGCATCATATTCTTCTTCATTATTTTCTAAGTCTCTCTGCTAGCTTAAGTTTGAACTCTATATTTCTATCTTTAACTTGGGCCTCCTTCATCAGTTGTTCTTCTTCAATCTTTTTGAAGTCAAGAGGTTGATGAAGGTTTCGAATACTTGCGAGGGTTTGCTTCTTCCGCTCAAGAGTGTTCATTTCAATAGTAGAATGATACTTCTCATTTATCTCCTCATATCTAGGTTTTCTCTTAAGGACTTGTCTAAGCTCCTTCTCGCGTAAGGATCTTAGTTTAGCACGCTCTTTAGCCTCCTCCTTTTTCATCTCAATAGATTTATTTCTTTTCTCTTTTAGAGTATCGTACTTCTGATGAGCTATTTCTTCAAGCTTTTTCAGCTTAAGCTCTTTATTCTTAGCTTTTTCCTTCATAACCTCTATTTTCTGGTCTCTTTGGGACTGAATGTCCTTGACCTTCTGAAAGGTTTTCTCCACATTGAGCATAGCGTCTCCATCCTCCTTCTCTCTTTCCTCTTTCCTGAAAGTGTATGATTTACTTGGGTTGTCTTTCGAACAGTAGAAATCAGGAATGAGTTTTACTTCACTCCTGGACACATAGAAGCCGTTTTGGTTGAGTCCTAGCTTCTTTCCGACATTTTGGAAGCCATCTGAAGATCCTAGCATGTTAGAGTTTTCATTAATATATTTTATTCCACTTTCATAATCTCTTTTAATAAGTTTAGTTTCCTTCACGTGGATTAGATTCAAAGTCTCCTTTAAAAACGTTTTGTTTAGCTGCGACTTCCACTTCTTGATAAGATGTGAGAGGTCTACCTCCTCTGGAGGTGGATTAAAAAAGCCATCCTCCTTTAAGATTCTTTGCTTATAATGCTCTGATTTGTGGTCTATTTTATCCTTGATCATTTGCCTTAAATTTTTATCTGATAATGTGGACTCGAATAAAGAGTCAAAATCAACTTGTGAGCTATTTGCCCTCGCTTCATCTGCAAATGAGACAGTCTTTTTATTTCCTCCATTAGTTTTCTTTGGTGAAATGATCGACTCTCCCTTCATATCCTCCTCCAAATCCTCATTCTTACTCTTTGACTTCTTCATTTCCTTCTCTTTGCCCTTCTCTTCTTTCTCCTCTTCCTTTTTCTCCTTTTTCTCCTTCTTATCATCTTTATCTCTCTTCTCCTTTTTCTCTTTCTTTTCTTTCTTATCCTTCTTGTCCTTCTTCTCTTTCCTATCCTTCTTCTCACCGCCTTCTTCCTTCTCCTTCTTTTCCTTCTTGTCCTTCTTATCCTTCTTATCTTTCTTGTCCTTTTTGCCCATAATGGTTAACTTATTTTTATATATTTCAGGATGCTTGTAACTTATGGGGTTTTGGGGTTTTGGGGTTTTGGGGTTTTGGGGTTTTGGGG